CTCCGCACAGGGGTGTTAGCGTTTTTCAAAGTTTTCTTACTCCGCAACTAGGAGGGTGCGCAGGCCAAACATCACGTCTAAGGAAAGACATCGACGAGATAATTCTAAAACCGTCCTTTTCGGCAGTGTTGCCTTCCTAGTGGTCGAGTGGTGAAGCTTTGAAAAATTTGCTGTTGTTGGCGTTCGGCAATGCTTGGAGTAGAATTTGCCTGGGTACGCATCTGCGACAAGAAACCGCCAGAACCTCCAGCTGCTGCCATCGCCTTGCCGCCGCGCCCCCTTGCGCTCACTCGCACTCAAGACACACCCCGTAAAGGCGCGAGTCACCTTGAATAAATTTCTCTGCCCGCAAACCTTGCTGAAGGTAAAAGAGATGTGAGGTACAGTAGGTAGATGCAACGCCCAGCCAAGAGCATCGACGTTACCATAGTTCCAAGAGATAAGCTAGTGTCTACGCCGCCCTACTCCGATGGACGATCCCTCCCCCCCCCCCGATTCACACGGCACCCATCACCGTATCAAATACATACTCATACAAGCAACGCCAAAACCCACGTGGGGCTCACCGTAGAACAAGGTACTCCTTGACGGAAATAGGTGATGCATATTTAGTTCAGAAATGGTTGCCTTCAGGCACTTTAAACGTTCTACAGAACGAACCATCAAGCTTCCAAGCCTGTTCGTATCATTGAATATCGAGGCTGACTCCCTCAGCATCGTCTGAAATTCGTCTAGACGTCCATATCACCGGGCTAGCATGTTATCCCCTCGCATGGTGGGAGATCCTGGCAGCAAATATAGAATTGAACAGGAAAACCGAAAAAAGGCCCGTAGCTACCGCAGTACGTGCTACTTGGTTCCGACTACAGTACTGGGCCCTCTATAGTGCAGGGGTGGGTGTGTCCACAAATTTTACCTGCACTACAGAGGGCACTTGCACTATTCAGAATAGTGCGTCAATAGTGCAGGTTCGGCGCTATTGAGGCTTTGAGTATATTATACCTCAATAGTGCAGGTCCGGCGCTATTGAGGAGATGCCTGATTTCATGGTGTAGCGCTCATGCGTCGCGGGGCTAACAGAGTACGAAATGGATCGAATTACAGTAGTGCTGAGTCCTGTTCTAGCGTGGGTATGGGCAGGCTGTCCCGCGACCCGTGTGGTTCCCCCCTGTCGCACACACAGAAATGTAGAAAAATTACTTGCAAGTTGAATCGTTACTTTCTTCCTGTCTCAGCACTCGTACTACTGCACACCGTGAACTGTTGCATGAACCAATCCTTCAACATTAATACTTAGCGAACGAAGCTATATGGCAGTCCTCGCCGCCCTCGTTCGATGTTGCAAGATAAAAAAATAAACACGCCAGAAACCGCACTACAAGAAAACAAACAACCATTAGTCTACTGCTACAGCTGTAGACTATGCAACCCCGCCCTCACTACGTCGCGAAAAATTCTCTCATGTCTGCCTGGCGCATCCATCAACTTGAGAATCTCAAGCTTCGTGTTGTTGTCTGGCCGCGCACGAGAACCAGATCCCTTCTTACTCCCCGCCTTTGTTTTCTTCGGGCGTGCATTTAGATGGATGGTCCCGCCCCAGCACCCTCAGCTGGTGTCGCATTGCGCTTGCCAGCCTTGGCGACGCACTTGCTGCAGATGCGGTGCTTTTCGTCGTCCTCAAACATGCTGCCGCAATTGCCGTGGAGCCGCCCGCTCCCCCCTCCCTTGCAGACGGGGCCATGCGGGGCTTGCGGCGTTCTGCTTGTTGATGGCGGCACAGTTCACCGTCCGCACACGGCTTGTTGCGTCCCTGCGTGAGCTTTTTTTGGGTCTGCAGCAGCACGTGTACCCTGGTTTCTGTGTTGGGTCTGTCCGCTGTCTTATCCGTGTGTGTTTTTTTTACTAGCATCGACCTCGCTAAACGGCTGACCAATGAAAATACGTCAGTCAGTGCGATTGAAAAAATAAAATACTTCTAGACTAGTCTAAACGTCACTAACTGGGACGCCGTGAAGGGGCGGCTTGGAGGAGGCTAAGCTATTTGAAACGGTGGCTACAGCAGATTTGCACATACGTGTCGATGAAGGCTGCTACCTTGCACTCGAGCTCGTTTTGGAGTGTCACCGCCATCCTCCTTCCTTCCAACTCCATTGTTCTCACTATCGTCTGTGTGTGTGTCCAACCTGCACTATTGCGAGGCACCGCGGTGCCCAACCTGCACTATAGCGGGACTGCCTTCAATAGTGCACGTTCTGCACTATTGAGGGCGCTGTCTGTGTCCAGAGATTTCACCTGCACCATACCCGGCACCTGCACCATTCAACCTGCACTATAGAGGGTCCAGTACTGTAGTATGAAACATGCTTCCGGTACTAAATTAGGTGTGCCATGAATCTTCCGCCGTCAAGCTTACACTCACGAAACGTGTCACCAACCCCCCAAAATACAATGAATCATTGGCAACGAACAACTCTGCTACAACTTGCAAGACTCCAGAGGTTATCTCCGGTTCCCCAAAGACAGCCACGTTAGCAACCACACACGAGAGCGAATGTGACACCTCGATATCACCATTCAACAATCGACTTCCATTTTTCTCCACAGCTTACTGTTTCCAATAAGCCAGCCTCCGTTGCCCTCTTCCTCCGATATCACAACTGACTGCCACCACTGGTAGGCATATTTCTACTCACACACTCACGGCCAACTAGTCCCTCCATCGCCCGTCGCCTTCCTCCTCACCCCTCGCCGGTTTCCGCCATGCCGCCAAGACAACGTCACCCTTCGCAAGCTATTTCATACGAAGTAGCTATCCGGTGCAGCCAATCAGACCTCCTCATCGTCGGTGCCATCTCCCGGGGCCTCCGTGTCCGCTGGCTCGCTGTCCTCGGGAGCAGGAAACCCCGAGTATCCGACCTTTCTTGACGACCCGAGGTCGTCCCCATCGCCACAGCCAATTGTCTCCACAAGGCCTCCGCCGCCGGTGCATTTTCTGGGCAGTCTCTTGCCAGCTCTTCCGGGGTGGCCTATCTTGTTGTTGTCCACGGCGAGCCCGGCGCTGACGGCCTGAGCCTGCGCCTCTACGTCGAAGGCCCGAGCGAGGGCCAGGACGTTCCCCCGCGCCGTCCCGCCCAGGTTGGCCTCGGGGGTAGCCTCTCCGAAAAGCGGATTCACGACGGCAGTCGTGGCTGCCGTTTCTTCCGCCACCGTCCCGTCGCCAGCGTCAGCCGGCGGCGGCGTCTGCAGCCCTTCCGCCGCCTCTAAGTCCAGCCCGTACGCGTTGGCCAGGTCCTGGTTCTGCTCATCGGGGACCATGCTGACGGTCCTGCTGGCCAAAGTACTGCTGGCGGCGCCGCGCAAGGCGCTGCGGGGACGCGTGATCCCGCTCCCGCGCCGGGTGGTCCCGCCGCCACGCCGGGCGTTCTGGCGCCCCACGGCCCTCGACGGGTCCCCGAAGAGGGGGCGAGGGATGGCGAGCGCGGCCTCGGCGAGGTCGGTGGCGCCGTCGTCGCTCGAGTCATCGCCGCCGCTTAAGACGTCGCCGTAGCCGCCGATCCCGTAGGAGATGGAGGCCATGACCCGCTCCTGCTGCTGCTGCTTTTTCTTCTTTTTTTTGTTCACCATCCTCGCGGCGCCGAGGAACCCTTTGGTGCTGTGCCGGGTGGTCGCCCCGCCCTCCTCGCCGCCCTCCTCGTCGTCGCTGCCCTTGTCCAGGCCGAAGGCGGCGTGGACGTCCCCGATCCCGGCCATCGTCCGGACCCCGGTCTTGTCGGCCGCCACCAGCGACGACCGCCGGGGGAGCGCCCCCTCGTCCTTCCCCTTGGCGCCGTCTACGGCATCTCCGAAATCTACGACTTCGTCGTCGTCTTCTTCCGCCATGTGGACGATGGGTGGGGAGCACTCGGCCGACGACCCCAAGTCCTGAACCCGCCGTTTCTCGTGCCGCGACTTTCTTCCTCCTCCTCCTTGTCCGCCCCCGATCCTGCCGAAGAGGGAAGAGATGAGGCTCTTCCTCTTGCCGCCGCTGTTGTTGTCCGAGCCTGGCTTCTTCTCTGACTCTATCTTCTTGCTGGCCCCCCGGTAGTCCAGCGGCTGTGTCAGAGGCGTTGTCGGGCTGAAAGGGGTCGAACGAATCTCCGCGCCGCGGTTCCGTTGGGTGTCCGGGTTCAGCCGCGATGAAGGCAGTGGGTGAAGGGGCGAGGGCGCCGCCGGGGAGTGGGACGGGGTCGAGTCCTCCGAGTACTGCAGCGATGACACCTCCGACAGCATCGGCGGCGGTGGGGCTGGTGTCGGCGCCGCCGACGGCGACGGCGACTGGAAGTGCGCGCCCCCGATGGCGGCCGCGGCGGCGTCGGTGTCGGTGTCGGAGGCGGCGGCGGCGGCGGCGGCGGCGGAGGCGGCGGCTTGAGATGCAGGAGAGAGGCGTTTATTCGCCATGTTCTGCTGCCCGGAACCTCCAGAATTCGAGTTTGAGATGGCACTCGTCGTTGCCGGGCTGTGGGTTCTGGCAATGACTGCGGATGGTCCGACGGGTTCATCCTCGCCGAGCTGCAAGAAATGGGGGGGGGGGGGGGGG